AAATAGAGTGGTGACCTTAGGGCAAGATCCCACCCAGCTAAGTTTCCAACTTGTGAAAAGGAATTAAAGAAAAACTTAGAGCCAGGTATGGTGGTACATGCCTTTAATCCCAATCCTCAGACGGCAGAGACGGGCAGATCTCTGAGTTTAAAGCCAGCCTGGTCTACAGAGCAAATTCTAGAACAGCCAACCTTAGGCAGTAAAGGAAACCACTGAAAACAGAAAGTTGGTGAAGATGTAATTGAACAAGTGGGCCATGTTCCAGCCCCAACAAGCAGCAGAACTTGGCAGCTTTGGCCACGTGATTCTGGCTTTGGTGTCAAAGAGTGACTAAGGAAAGCTGCTGAGGCCAAACATGTGTCAGGGGTGTCCCTGAATAGAGGCCATTGCATGAAACTGTGAAGGTGAAACCTGGGTTGCCTTGGAGACCCCAAGAGGTTAGAGATTTCAGAGCTGTGTGATACCTGCTGAGGAGAGCTGCTAACAGTGAGTGGAACCAGCCCCAGAGAAAGAAATGTGTTACAATCAATAAAGCTGAAAGGAGTTGGAGATCTGGAGTGTTTTGATATCAGATGTGCAGATGCAGAGTTTGGAGTTTGCCTCACTGGTTTTTTGGTCTTGCTTTGGTCTGGGATTTCCTCACTATGCTCCTAATATGGTCCTCTTAAAGAGCAGTACACACTCTCAGTTGCTGAACCATCCTACCCTAAATTTATTTTTAATTTTTTTAGACAAGGCCATACTACTGTGTAGCCTGGCTGGCCTGTGACTTACTATGTAAACCAGATGGCCTTGAACTCACAGAGATTTATTGTCTCTACTTCTGGAATGATGGGATTAAAGGTGTGCTGCCATGACCAGCTACATCTCTCATTTGCTCTGTTTCTATACTTTTTTTTGTTTCTGTATTTTTAAATGGTCAATGTAATAAGAATTATTTGCAAGACTAAGGATGAGGATGTAGTGGTAGAGTTTTTGCCTATTTATAAAGAATATGTGGAAGTGGAGAACCACAGCAGAGAAGCTAAAAATAACAACAAAATTCCTGAAGAAAATCCAATTCTCTCTGTAACTTTTTCCTTTTTTGTTTTTCCAGGGAGGGGGTTAGACCTCTATACCATGCATGTTAATTAAGAACTCTATCATTGAGTTACACACAGCCTCTGTATATCTTCTAGATTTTATCCATATGTCTAGGGGGCAAAGAGAGTCAACAACATGTGCCAAGGCAGTAGATATTTTTACTTTCTTATGTTTTTTATGTTTACATTTATATAGCTATATGGTTTGAAATGTTATATCATCTAATTAGCCTGTGATAATTTCACTTTAGAATATTTTAGATCATAATATTACTTATAGTAAAGTGTACATTGTATCTCTTAAGGAATAAACTGCTTTAAAAACAATGTTTGGTTAATGGCAATAGCTTAACTCTGAACAGGATAAGATGAAGAAATGCCAGTGTGACTTGTAGGCTCTTATTTCCTCTTTAATATCTTTAAGTAACTCATCGCATTTAGATTCAGCTTCATTTCTGTTAGGTGAACACACCCTGAATTTCAGAATATTTCTCCTTTTTCTCTGTTATTGGTATTAGAGCTTTTCTAGGTTTGGGATCTATAAATATTTCTTCATGCAGTCTTCTTGTACTTGTGTCCTTTTCCATGAAACCAGATGCTGATAAGGAAGTGGTGGAGCAGGACGGGGACAGAAAAAAAGGGATCAGAGTCCAGATGCACTGTTTATATTACTTGAAAAGGCACCGTTTCTCAGAAGCTAAGTCCTTTCTGATGGGAAACCCCCAAGAGAGCTTCTCCTTCACAGTCCGGAAACTCCCATCGGCAGAGGGTATTTTCTCTGCTCTTTTCTTCCTTTGGAGACAACAATAATATGAGTAGAAGCCAAGGACTAGAGTAGCAAAGATGTTCATGGAATCTTGCTGACTAGCTAGTACTTAAATGACTTTAGTGGGTTGGTCTTGTTTATTCCTAAAGATATCAATTCTTCACCACAGCATGAAAACAGCAAATGAGATCATGTTTAATAATCTTATGCAGTTTCTGAAACATAAATTCTCATAAAACATTACCTTTTGTTATTATTTTACTAATTTATTAACACACTATATATTTATTAAGCATCTTTCTGTGCCAGATAACAAGCTGGGCATACAAGTGAACTAAAACACAGCATGGTCTTCAAGGACTCACTGGGGATGATAGACAAGCAGCTGATCCTATTGCTACAGAAATAGACTTCAAAAGACTTTAGGAGCAAGTATGGGAGAATAACCCAGAACTAGAGGGAAGGAGTAGGGGTTCTTGGAGTAAATGCTGCCTGTGTTGTGCTCTTACACACTCATGGTGTTGTGAGTAGCATTGGAGGGAAAGGTGTGCTCACTGGCTGGGGAATGCAGAACTCCATGCGTTTAAGAAAATGAAGGAAATGTATTGATGAAGTTGGACCTGCAGATCTGCAGTATCGGACAACACAAATCATTCCTAATAAAAATCATTGCTAAGAATGGAAGCCTGGCACTGTACTCTCCTGGCAGCTCTTGGTCAAGGGTCCTTGCTGCCTGTGACTGTGCAAATGCTGGCACCCAGACAGTCATTGACGAGGAAGGACAAGAAAATTAAAAGAGTATGTAGTTATAAGCAACATTTTATCATCTACTCTCCCTCTTGCCTGCCTAGAGAAGCATGAAGATGTAAATACTCAGGCAGGAGTAAAAACAAGCTAAAGAGATACTTATGCTCCTCTCTTTAGTTATCGACTGTTGAGGCAATGGGCCTTCCTAACACCCAAATTAGAATTTCCTCAGGAATCTCATGCTGGGAGAAAGAAAAGGCTAAAACATGATGCCAGCCAGATGGCAGAGTGGAGAGCTTGTCTTCCGGAAGGAGATTTTTCAGAGTTCTGACAACTTAGGCTACCATTTAGGACCAATGAGAGCCTAGATAATGATGGTGGGAAGGACCACACATTGGCTAGGACAACTTGCTATGAATTTGCCTGGCTTATGTCAGGGACTTGAAGATGGATTTGGAGGGTCATTGGACCTCTTTGTCCCTTATTCAAAGTGGTCCCATTAGGAAGATAATATGACCACTCTGAATAAATATCTGTTTTCTGCTTTTCACTACTACTGTTTATTTAATTGACATATGGAGGATGAATGGACAAGCCTAGGTTGTTAGGGCTACAGGGCCCAGGCCTTGGTCCACACAATTCTGAAAAATATATAAGAAGATAGTGACTGCAAATAGGAATTAAAAGGTGAAGGAGCTCCTTGCAGACCAAGTTTGGCAGCTTATCCCTACCTCACTACAAGGCTGTCACCTTCAATCTGGGATGACATTTTTTGCTGGAGACTGATGATGCTTCAGAATTCAAAGATCCTGTTGGACAATGGTGGTATTGGGAGCTTGAGAGAGATCTGAGAGAGCAGTAGAGCCAGTGGCTCTTTTTAATTTAACTAATAACTATAATAAGAGCTTCAAAATACTTTTCATTAGGATTTCAAAATATTTGAGTAAGCTTTTAGATTGCCTTACTATACCCAGGTATTGTGTAAATCCAAGTTCTTCAGAATAGAACCTTCTAGAATAAAATGAAATTGTTAAAGATCTTTCAGTAGGAGAAGGGGGGATGATCCCACCGTTAACTAAGAAGCTATCTGTAATTGGTTTTCTCCAGTGGATTCTTTCATTGGGTAAATTAGCCATACTTTACCATAGGCCTCATATTCAGGAGTAGTTGACATACAGACAATTCATTGGTATTTTTGTGGGCTTTTTGTTTGCTTTATTTTAGCATTTTCTGTCTCATTTCTCATTGGTCTTTTGCTTATTCGTTTTGATTTGTGTTTATGTAGTTTTTTGTGAGTGAGTGTGTGTGTGTGTGTGTGTGAGAGAGAGAGAGACAGACAGACAGACAGACAGACAGACAGACCATAAAGTTGGGTGGGTAGGAGGTGAGGAGGAGGATATGGGAAGAACTGAGGAGGGTGAGAGAAATTTCAGTGGGTGAAGGTATTTGTACATAGCCACCACAAACACCAAAAACAAAGGCAATAACTTGGAAATTTTACAGGATTCTTTGAAAATATCTGAAGCACTTTTAATAAACAATTTTGAAAATTAGTTTCATGAAATGCCCTGAGGAGCCAGTGACAAACTTGGACTATTAGGAGTTTTATTAGTGTTAGAGTGATTGGGTAAATTTCCTGAGGACACACAGCTCACTCACATTCTTGGTCTCATTTAAGCAAATCTCAAGGGTGAGGGATTGAGCAGCACCTTCATGTGTCTCGGAGCTTAAGGAGGAGGGAGGCATCGAAGAATCACAGTAGGGATAATCAGGAACTGTGGTGTACATATGGAGAAAGGTGGGAGTCAGAATTTAACTGTTGGCTTTGGATTGCTCTCAAGTAGCATGTTTGATTTACAGGTCCCAAGTCAGGGTTGGAAATGTATTAGAGGTTCAAGAACCGAGAATCCAGTGTGTGTGTGTGTGTGTGTGTGTGTGTGTGTGTGTGTGTGTGTGTGTTTTAAAATTTTTATAAGCAAGATTTTTTGAGCTGGGGAGACATTAGGAATGGCCTACAATTATCAAATTTTATAGACCTGTGCTAAAAGAGGGGAGCATATTTCCATAACATAACTCTGAAGTCCAGGCTCATTTGCAGATGGGTTTCACACATTCTTCCCAGTTACTGGGAAAAGGTTCCTGACAGCCTGGTCAGTCAGTACCAATCCCTCTGGGTATCCTTGCTTCTAGAGAGGTCTGGAGCTCTTAAAAGCAGCGGGAGAGGGCTACCAAGTATCATGAATTATCAAGTCAGTAAAAGTCAAGGTCAGTGCCTGGGCAGTAGAGTCCTTATCATAGAAGGACTATTCTAAGTTCAGAAGTAGGAGTACAGATGGAGTTGACTAAGGGAAGAAGTCTGTACAAAGAGTGTCCATTATTAAATTCACCCCACCGAAAGTGAAAGGAAATTCTTGAGGACAAAGGTTGTTTCTAAACTGGACAACACAGCGGTCTTGGGGAATTTCCAACCCAGATACTCACATATAAGCAGACCCGGGGATTCTTTTCTCACTCAGCCTCTCATTACAGACATGGCCACCTGCATCTGTGTAAGTTGGGGTCTGAAGGGAAAGTGGAATACAGTTCCACAATTCAGGAGGGGACAGTGCCTGGATGGTAAAGGGGTCGGGTGGGCACTATTTAAGAGACAAGGCAGACATTGATAACTGTACAACAGGAAGAAGGTACTCTGGATAGAGGCTGGTCATTTGGCTTACTAAACTTTTAAAGCATTTTATTTTTGCTTTTGTTGTGTATGTACACGCATATGCAGGGTCAGGGTCAGAAGAGAATCTGCTGGGGTCAGCTCTGTCCCTCCACCACCTAGGTCATAGGGATCAACTCAGGTGGTCAGGCTTGGTGGCAAGAACTTTTTACCAGATAAGCCACTTTGCCAGCCAAACTGGAGAGAAATGACAGGGCATTGTGCTTCAACAAGAATTGTAAGCTGTGAAATTAGAGAAATAATTTTTAGAGTTCTCAGTCTTAAGCTATTCTCTCTTTTCAAAGGAAAATTCCCCTGATTTCATTTAAGTTATCGGTGATCTAACATGTGACCTTAAGTGAGACTATGTCCTCACAAAGAGAACCTGCAGTCGGGGAAGTACCCAACACAGGATGAAACTTCCACTGAAGGAACAGCTGAAACATCTAGGTTGGGAAGATGTTTTTTAATAGGGTATGAGAAGGTTTTCATAGGGTTTTCAGACCTGATTCTCCCCCATCTTCCAGAATTCTGCAGCAAATGAAATTAAACTTAGATTTAGTTCCTATCTTCAGGATTGGGATGCTGGTTTGATTAAATGAGAATATTATGCTTCATAAAAATAGTTATAAAATACAAAAAATATATAAACAACATTAGACTCAGCATCACCACAACCTGAGCATTAACAGAAATCAGCGAGGACATTAATAAGAAAGCAACAATGTGGATATTATGACTTAATCAGGGTTCATTCTGATTAGCCACAGAGGGTAAAACGTGGCTGAGAGTATCCTATGGGGCTGCCATATCTTGGAAATTTGCTTTGGTGCTGTTTAATAATCTGTGTACATCTTCTGAAGCCCTGTACTATCTTTACTTTTGACATCTGGCTTAGGAGAGGCAAATTAATAAGGCAGGAAATTGTTAATTACATTAGATATGTATATATATACATATTTATGTATATATAAAGAGGAATGAGACAAATGTTTTAAATTTTGTCATAATATGGCAATTAAACAAGCGTTTCAAGAGAGGGAGAGATACAGATTGTTGGGTAGGAGCTGGAGGGCCAAGCAGACAGAATAATGAAGGTGAGGGGTAGGGTGTAGAGGATGGCAGGCATCCTATGTGACTTTCTTGCCTTTCTTTGCTTAGATTGTCCATTCTGAGCAATGGCCGTTAATGACCTTTGACACTGCTGAGAGTGACAAAGTGAAGAAGATAAATGAACATATCAGATCCAAAACCAAGGTTTCTGTGCAGGACCAGGTCCTTCTGCTAGACTCCAAGATCCTCAAGCCCCAGAGAACACTGTCGTCTTATGGCATTAACAAGGAAACAACCATCCACCTCACCCTGAAGGTGGTGAAGCCCAGCGATGAAGAGCTGCCCTTGTTTCTGGTGGAGTCAACCAAAGAAGGGCAAAGGCACCTCCTCCAAGTTCGAAGATCTAACTCAGTGGCCCAGGTGAAAGAGATGATTGAGAGTGTGACCTGTGTGACCCCCAAGACTCAGATTGTGACGTGCAATGGGAAGAGGCTGGAAGATGGAAAGATCATGGCTGACTACAACATCAGGAGGGGCAGTTTGCTCTTTCTGACAGGGCACTGCATTGGGGGGTGACTATGTGGATGGGCTGATAAGAGCATCAAAGCCCACCCCTTTTAGCTCTTACCAATCACATCCTTTGATGATTTAAAAAATGTAATGAGAATGAAATAAAAATTGGAGACGAGGTGGATACATTAAAAATATTTGTCGAGTCTGTGATTCCTTGCTTCTGACATAGCTCATTATGTGACAGGGTTGTTACTGAGAGCAGAAACCGAAATATTAGTCAGGTGTGGTGGTACACACTTTAATTCCAGGACTAGGGAGGCAGGGACAGGCAGATCAATGAATAATTATTGAACCAAACTGAGTTCTACTTATAGATAAGTAATGTGTTATGGTTTTTTTTTACCCCAACAAGACCACAGTCTAATAAATAATTTATAAATTAATTTATTTATCATCCCCTCTTCTTATTTAAAGATATTTGGTATGAAATACAGTATAGTACCTTCTCCATCTGCTGTATCTAAAACCTAACAAAATGTTCATCTCTGGGTAAGGAAGGGAAGGGGTTAACTTGTGGGTTCTTCTGACTGGTAGACTTTCCTTCACCATCAGATACCTTTCTCCATCTTCCTTCTATTTGCTCCTCTGTATCATTCCTGGTCACATGTAGGCTTTTCTCAGAGCCTGACCATGGCTGCCATCAGCTTCACCAATTCTAGTCTTTTCTCTTCTTTAAAACTAGTTCAAAAGCTGTATTCTGCAGATGGGATTCCCACCTTAACCAGGCCTGGCACAACTGCCTATGCTTACAGATTTTCCTCATACTCTTATGTATCAAAATGCTCTGTGGTTAACACTGATCACCTGGCTAGTTCTGTATTAGCTGGGCTGTCTCCCCAAGAAGAGAAACCACATCCTGTTTCTGGAAGCTATCCATGTAAGGTAGGGCACAGGGACTTCACTTGATGGCTGAAACCATGAAATTTTTTTTTGGTGTATTTCTTTCTTTTTTTTATTCTCCAGATTTATTTTGGTAAAAAAAAATCAGATATAACCTTTCAAAGAAACCATGAAATTTTTCACGGTCTTTTGTAAACCTGGGGAAAACTAAAGGTCAACACCAGGGTGGTCATCATCGGATTTCCATGTGCATTCTTCAGGGCTGGTTACCAAGTCTCCTGAGGGTGATGATGTTCCCCTCCTTTATCATGTTTCCCTTCTGTAGAAAGTCTTAAGAGTCATTTATCCCATTACTATATTATATATTTCAGGGATTTCCCCTCAACAATCCAAACCCTAGCCAGTGAGAGATAAGGGATCTCCCTCTTAATAACCATGGACTCCTTGAGGACAAAACTTGCAGATTCTTATGCAAAGACAAACAATATGGTCAACCTAGATCCCCGGACCCTGTATCCTTCTTAGTCCTCTCACTGTCTGACCGGCTGCCTCCCCAGACTCCGCAAGAACCTCAACGCCGCCCCCTTCACTTCCTTGTTCCGCAGTGTGTAGATGAGGGGATTGAGCGCAGGTGTGACCACCGTGTAGAAGAGCGAGACGAACTTGCCGCGACCCTGGTTGTAACTATGCGTGGGTTGCAGATAGGTGTAGGTGGCAGAGCCATAAAATAGGCAGACAGCTGTCAAGTGAGAGCCACAGGTGCTCGCCGCTTTTCGCTGGCCTGCGCGGGAGCGCATACCCCAGACCGCGCGGCCCACAGCGGTGTAGGAGGCCAGGATGACCGCAGAAGGCACCAACAGGATGACCACCCGCGCGGCGAACATCTGGCGCTCGGTGGCGCTGCGGCCGCCGCGACAGGCTAGCTGCAGCAGCGCCGGCAGTTCGCAGATGAAGTGGTCCAGACGGCGGGCCGCGCACAACGGACGTGCGGCCAATAAGGCGGTCTGTGCAGCAGAGTTGACCAGGCCACCAAGCCAGGAGACGCTGGCCAGTGCGCGGCACAAGCGCGGCGAGGCGAGTGCGGCGTAGCGCAGCGGGCGGCATACGGCAGCAGCGCGGTCCAGCGCCATAACCGCCAGCAGCACGCACTCGGCTGAGCCTAGGGCCAGCGATGCGCACAGCTGTGCCATGCACCCGCCGCGCGGTAGCTGCAGCACCGGGCCGCACAGGCTGGCCAGCAGCGGCGGCACCACACTGGTGGTGAAGCCGACATCCACCAAGGCCAAGTGGCAGAGGAAGTAGTACATGGGTATGTGTAGGCGAGGGTCGCGAATGGCCAGCAGCACCAACGCCGCGTTGCCGGTCAGCGTTAGTAGGTAGCAGAAAAGGACTAGTGCGAAGAGGACGGGTTGCAGCGAGGGCCAGTCGGTGAAACCCAGCAGCAGGAAGAGCTCCGCTGAGCTGTGGTTAGCCTGAGGGGAAACTCCAAGAAGGTTCAGAAGGATAAGACAAAGAAGTTTAATGCTAGTGGGTTTGGTGCGGGCCTTGTGCTCGGTAGGGAGGCAGAGGCCACCTTGGTCTACATAGTGAATTCCAGGTCAGACTGGTCTAAGTAGAGTTTCATGTCAATCATAGCTACACACGGTGAGACCCCGTCTTACCTCTATCTATGACAAGCAAGAATCCCCACTGTGGGATTAACTGGGCAGGAGAGGAAAAGCCCATGCCCACATTTTAGTTTCATTACATAACCACATGCCAGTATTCCTTCAAGGGAGGCAATGCCTATGTTTAACAGAGGAGCCGGTTGAGGATTTAGAAAAGTCCATCACTAATCGGGTCTGCCTCCCTGGCTCTGAATGCACTTCCAAGAGTTAAAGAGGAAATTCAGGGCATCTACCAAGGGCAGCTATGAAGATACCGAAGGACATAATCCACTCTGAGCCCTCTTTCCCCTTTTCTTTAAAAGTATACACTGTGTAAAAGCCAAGCCTGATTGAGACTAGGTGGAGTAGCATTGCCATTTTTTGGGGGGTTATGAACAGTTAAAATTGAAGCTAGGAGAGCCCTGAGCAGGTAAACCAGTCGAACTTCACAGGTGGCCTTAACTCAGCTCCATGTGCAAACCAAAGTGGAAGCACGTCTTGTAAATGTCTAATATATATATATATATATATATATATATATATATATATATAAAGAATGTAATCTCAACCACTTAGGAGCAGCCAACAGATATATGTAGCTATAGACTTTTCACTTGAATAGACCAAATACGATAATTGTAACCATCAAATATTTTTTTCTTATCCTCCTTCCCTCCCTTTCTTTCTTCCTCCCTGCCTCCTTTTGTCCCTGTCTGCCTGTCTGCCTCTTTTCTTCCTGCCCTGCCTGCCCCCTCTCTCCATCCCTGCCTTCCTTTCAACAGGGTCTCATGAAGGTCAGCCTTCAGTTCCCTTTGTAGCAGAGAGTGATCTCTAACTCCTGGCCCTCTTGTGTCCACCTCCAGAGTGCTGGGGTTATAAGCATGTGTCACCATTTCCAGCCTCCAAGCAAATATTTCTTTGTTTTACCTCTATGTTCATCCTACAAAAATGTTCCATTTGTTTTTCCACTGTGGCTCACTAAACTTCTTCTACCCGATTCAACTGTTTGCTCAAATAAACTCTTTAAAAGTTTATTGTGCTTCTGTCCCTGCCCCCCTTTGAACTGAGAATTGAATCGGGGCCTTGTGAATGCTAAGCATATGCTCAGTACTGAGCTATACCCTGACTCCAGAAATTTGTTTTTTAATCTGTTATATTATTGTCTAATCTGTGGAGGCAATTTACAGAGCACAGGACCTCCTGCTGTAAATGTGGTACTCAGTGTCACCATAGACTAGCCTGGCCAAGATAATTTCCTGTCAGAGAGGAAATGAAAAGACCTTAGTCTTAGCAAGTGCTTCCTGTCAGATCTGAAATGAGAAGAGCTTAGTCCTAGCAAGCACAGCCAACTCTCGTTGGCTATTTGGGTTATAGAATTCACACTTCATGTCATTCTGCCTCAATTTTGTCATGTGTAAGTGGGAGGGGTTGAAGTGGATGATTTCTTGGGTCTATCTTGGGCTTTTCTGTCAATCATTTCTCAAACAAATTTAAAAGAGATGAAAGAAACAGAGAACCTCATTTTTATGGCCTAGGTATTGGTGCTGAATCCAATATCTGGTGACATGGAAACCATCATGGTTGATGGAATGGATAAAATTTACAGAAAAAATTTTATGCATGTTTCCTGATAGATAATATAATATACATAACTTACAAACACACTCACTGCTTTTAATATGATTAAAAAAAGCCACAGTCCTCTTGGTTGGCAAGATGGTGCACCAGGTAGAGGCACTTGCTGTCTGATGACCTGAGTTTCATCCCTGAGACCCACAGAATGGAAGAGAGCTAGCTGGGATCTTCAAGTTGTCCTCTGACCTTCACCATTGACGCTGGTGCATCTACCAATCAGTCTTTTATATTTTTTTCTAGGAAGTAATCCCTCTCCTGATAAAACAGTTTGCTTATCCTTGTCAGGCAGGATAAGTTTTAATGTGAATAAGAACAAGGTTCAGGACCCAAACTCCTCAGGTTTGAGTTTTGATTCTGCTGCTTCCTAGATGATAACTGCGTGCCCCTGGAAACATAAGTGTGTAACAGGAGTTAAATACACAGTGCTTTGAACAGTATCTGACACACAGGAGGTGAGTGGTAACTGCTGTCACCCGCATCTTTTACCAGTATACAAATTTTTGTTTTCATTGTTCCATATTTTCTTGGTGTTGGAAATAGATGCATGTTGAATATTATCCCTGGCCTAAGCTAGCCTCTAACTCACAATTGTCCTGCTTTTGCCTCCTGAGGGCTGAGATTACAGGTGTGTGTTTCTGGATCTCTCCTGCTCCAGGAAATGAACTGATGTAAAACTCCATTTCCTTTCATATGTTAACTTTTATATTCCCTTGATTAGAAATTAGGCAACGGTCTTATTTTACAGAGCAGAGTAGGGATGAGATCAAAATTAAATGTGTCCACAATCACATTGTAAAAGATTTGTACGATTTCGATCCAAACCTGACTAACTCTAAGGGCTATATTATGCCAGACGGTGGAAGAGAAAAGGATATTAAAACCTTGGTCTTTATTTCTAGACAATTAACAGCATTGGGGTTGAACTGAACATGGATAAAATATAAGACATAGCATTTGTGAGGTAGTGGTGACAGGAGGTATTGAGTTACAAAAGGTCAAATTCTTCAGTATTGTGATTTCATAACCAAATACCAGCACAGTTAGACAAGTTCTAAAGTATTTGCTTTCAGACATGCCACCACATGAAAACAGGTACACACTAGCAGAATTTCACAGACAATATTTATGTTGAGCACAAATCCCCAAGAACACAGTTCTAGCACACACACACACACACACACACACACACACACACACATTCACAGGTATACACACCACTGATGATTTTTCAGAAGGCAGATCTATTGTGAATAGAATAATGTGTCTTTAAACTTTCCTCGAAACCATTTATTCTTAGAGCAATGTAACAAACTTACCTTCATGTCTAACATCTGGCCCTGTTTACAGACCTTGAATTTATGTTGATGTCCTGCTTGTGCTCTGGATTCCGTGGGTTTGAAATGACAGAGGGAAAGATTAACAAAAGATCCAAGTACTTGACTGTATCCGTTGCTGGACTGAGGACCTGAGATAAGAGCTGGGTGCCCCAGAATGAAGACAAGGAGTGGGTGTCATCCTGTTCATCAGAGGAATGAATCAGTGGTTTGGAAAAAAAAAAGATGCCTAAGTTTGTGGAATTGGGGTATAGGGACAGAAGTGGGGGCTGTTACTGGAGAGTCCTGTAAGGGGCACAAACAGGTCAAATGCTTGTCTTGTGGTGGTTGCCAATTAACCTTAGCTGGTGATTGCACCAAAAATACTCTTTTAAAATCTAAGAGGAGAGAGAAGTGAAGGATAATGACACTGTCCCTCACTAGAGAAGAAACAAGAACCAACGTTCCTTGCTCCTTAGAAGAGGGGATGCGGCACTGGGGAATCTGTGTCCCACTCCCATAATTAGCACTTTCCATGGAGGTGTGTCCAGAGAGACATTCCCTAAGGTGATGGAGGGGGAATCCTGGAGAGACCATCCCTTCAGGGTACTGTGTCTCTGGCACGCTGTGGAGGCTCAAGGCAGCATAATTTCCTCTTCCTGTTATTTCTGCTCAGTCATTGATTTGCCTGCTGACCCTTAGTAAATCTCTATCATTTCCATAAAGCAGCCTTAATCTATTGGGGCCTCTGCAGATTTAAGGCAGATTTAAGTTTTTGTTTTTGTTTTGTTTTGTTTTTGAAAAAGGAACGGCATTTTAATACACAGCCCAAGCTGCTGAGCGCTGGGATTACTGGTATTGTTCCTCACATGGATCTCACCTCAGCTGGACATTGGCCCCTGCTACCACTTGTGTTTGCTGTTACCCCCCCATCCCTTCAGCACCTGTTTATTCTTGAATATATTGTGTTTGGTCCACTCTATACTCTTGCTATATACATCTTAGTGAATAATTTCCACAAAAATCAAAACTCGTCTCCACCCTCTTCTACTTCCTTCTTCAGTGGTCCGGACATTTACCACAGTTCCTCATCTACCTATGTCTTCCTGTCTCTCTCCATCCAGCCCAGGTTGCCTTCTGCCATTGTAATTACTTATTTGGGGCTGTCGAAAAGACTCATTGGTAGAGATGCTTGCCACCACCCTAACAATCTGAATTTCATACATCTGACTGACATGGTGGAAGGAGAGAACTGACTCCTGTGCCTTGTGCTCACCACCATTGCACACACAAGTAAGCAAATGTAATAAAAAGTTTAAAAGTAATAATTACCTTTTGTAGACTCTAAGCAATATTTTCACTTTCTAGTATTCTCTTGGTTAAATTACCATTCTCTTGGTTAGATTACTACTGTATTTCAATTAAACCCTAATTTGATCCATTATCTATGCTCGTTTGTTTGATTGTGGCTGGAGAAAAACTTACAGACAGGCTGGGAGGTTTCACTTTACCCTGACAACTGACTTTAAAGGCCAGGGGGGCAAAAGCCGCCTGATAATCTATGTAGTGTAGTTGTTTTTTTTTTTTCGATATTTCCTTTCTCTAAGGCTCAGGAAGATTTCAGGGATAAAAAGAATCTAAGAGCCAGCAACTGGGAGGGAAGGAAATGCTGTAAAATTCTCTTTTCTAGGTATCACATGGTTGCTGCACTCATAAAATTGCAGCAGTGGTGGTTCCTTGAACAGGGCCTGCAGAAGACTGGGCCTATTAACATTCCAATAGATACCACCCCACCCTGAGAAGTTATAGGCCCCTAATGGTTGATAGAGGAGGGGAGTCATATTCCATAATGCTGTAGCCACTGGTAAGTTGTCCTTGTTCAAGTGGTAAACCCCTACCTATGCTCATTCAAGTGACCTTAATTAAATGTGATGAACTATGCACACATGAAAAAGACATGAAGGCTAGAGAAATAACTCTTCCAGAGGACCTGGGTTGTATTCCCAGTACCCAAAGGATGACTCATAACTGTCTGTAACTCCATTCCTAGGGGATCTGATCTGACACCCTCTTTTGGCCTCTGCCAGCATGAGGCAAGCATGTGATACACAATTCATGCAGACAAAACGCT